CCCTGGAGAATCACAGGATCCTGGAGAATCACAGACCCGGGAGAATCACAGGACCCTGGAGAATCACAGGACCCTGGAGAATCACAGGACCCTGGAGAATCACAGGACCCTGGAGAATCACAGGACCCTGGAGAATCACGGGACCCTGGAGAATCACAGGATCCTGGAGAATCACAGGACCCTGGAGAATCACAGGACCCTGGAGAATCACAGGACCTGGAGAATCACAGGACCCTGGAGAATCACAGGACCCTGGAGAATCACAGGATCCTGGAGAATCACAGGACCCTGGAGAATCACAGGATCCTGGAGAATCACAGGACATTGGAGAATCACAGGATCCTGCAGAATCACAGGACCCTGGAGAATCACAGGACCCTGGAGAATCACAGGACCCTGGAGAATCACAGGACCCTGGAGATTCACAGGATCCTGACGAATCACAGGATCCTGGAGAATCACAGGATCCTGAAGAATCACAGGACCCTAGAGAATCACAGGACCCTGGAGAATCACAGGACCCTGGAGAATCACAGGACCCTGGAGAATCACAGGACCCTGGAGAATCACAGGACCCTGGAGAATCACAGGACCCTGGAGAATCACAGGACCCTGGAGAATCACAGGACCCTGGAGAATCACAGGACCCTGGAGAATCACAGGACCCTGGAGAATCACAGGCCCCCTGGAGAATCACAGGACCCTGGAGAATCACAGGACCCTGGAGAATCACAGGATCCTGGAGAATCACAGGATCCTGGAGAATCACAGGACCCTGGAGAATCACAGGACCCTGGAGAATCACAGGACCCTGAGAATCACAGGATCCTGGAGAATCACAGGACCCTGGAGAATCACAGGACCCTGGAGACTCACAGGATCCTGGAGAATCACAGGATCCTGGAGAATCACAGGACCCTGGAGAATCACAGGACCCTGGAGAATCACAGGATCCTGGGGGAATCACAGGACCCTGGAGAATCACAGGACCCTGGAGAATCACAGGACCCTGGAGAATCACAGGACCCTGGAGAATCACAGGACCCTGGAGAATCACAGGACCCTGGAGAATCACAGGACCCTGGAGAATCACAGGACCCTGGAGAATCACAGGACCCTGGAGAATCACAGGACCCTGGAGAATCACAGGACCCTGGAGAATCACAGGATCCTGGAGAATCACAGGACCCTGGAGAATCACAGGACCCCGGAGAATCACAGGACCCCGGAGAATCACAGGACCCCGGAGAATCACAGGACCCTGGAGATTCACAGGATCCTGGAGAAATCACAGGACCCTGGAGAATCACAGGACCCTGGAGAATCACAGGACCCTAGAGAATCACAGGACCCTGGAGAATCACAGGACCCTGGAGAATCACAGGACCCTGGAGAATCACAGGACCCTGGAGAATCACAGGACCCTGGAGAATCACAGGACCCTGAAGAATCACAGGGACCCTGGAGAATCACAGGACCCCTGGAGAATCACAGGATCCTGGAGAATCACAGGACCCTGGAGAATCACAGGACCCTGGAGAATCACAGGACCCTGGAGAATCACAGGACCCTGGAGAATCACAGGACCCTGGAGAATCACAGGATCCTGGAGAATCACAGATCCTGGAGAATCACAGGACCCTGGAGAATCACAGGACCTGGAGGAATCACAGGACCCTGGAGAATCACAGGACCCTGGAGAATCACGGGACCCTGGAGAATCACAGGATCCTGGAGAATCACAGGACCCTGGAGAATCACAGGTCCCTGGAGAATCACAGGACCCTGGAGAATCACAGGACCCTGGAGAATCACAGGACCCTGGAGAATCACAGGATCCTGGAGAATCACAGGATCCTGGAGAATCACAGGACCCTGGAGAATCACAGGCCCCTGGAGAATCACAGGACCCTGGAGAATCACAGGACCCTGGAGAATCACAGGACCCTGGAGAATCACAGGATACTGGAGAATCACAGGATCCTGGAGAATCACAGGACCTGGAGAATCACAGGACCCTGGAGAATCACAGGACCCTGGAGAATCACAGGACCCTGGAGAATCACAGGACCCTGGAGAATACAGGTTTCCTGGAGAATCACAGGACCTGGAGAATCACAGGACCCTGGAGAATCACAGGACCCTGGAGAATCACAGGACCCTGGAGAATCACAGGACCCTGGAGAATCACAGGATCCTGGAGAATCACAGGATCCTGGAGAATCACAGGACCCTGGAGAATCACAGGACCCTGGAGAATCACAGGACCCTGGAGAATCACAGGACCCTGGAGAATCACGGGACCCTGGAGAATCACAGGATCCTGGAGAATCACAGGATCCTGGAGAATCACAGGATCCTGGAGAATCACAGGACATTGGAGAATCACAGGATCCTGCAGAATCACAGGACCCTGGAGAATCACAGGACCCTGGAGAATCACAGGACCCTGGAGAATCACAGGACCCTGGAGATTCACAGGATCCTGAAGAATCACAGGATCCTGGAGAATCACAGGATCCTGAAGAATCACAGGACCGTGGAGAATCACAGGACCCTGGAGAATCACAGGACCCTGGAAAACCACAGGACCCTCTAGAATCAACGGATCCTGGAGAATCACAGGACCCTGGAGAATCACAGGAAACTGGAGATTCACAGGATCCTGGAGAATCAAAGGATCCTGGAGAATCGCAGGATCCTGGAGAATCACAGGACCCTGAAGAATCACAGGACCCTGGAGAATCACAGGACACTGGAGAATCACAAGACCTTGGAGAATCACAGGACCCTGGAGAATCACAGGACCCTGGAGAATCACAGGACACTGGAGAATCACAGGACCCTGGAAAATCATAGGACCCTCTAGAATCACAGGACCTTGGAGAATCATAGGACCCTGGTGAATCACAGGACCCTGGAAAACCACAAAACCCTCTAGAATCACAGGACCTTGGAGAATCACAGGACCCTGGAGAATCACAGGACCCTGGAAAACCACAGGACCCTCTAGAATCACAGGACCTTGGAGAATCACAGGACCCTGGAGAATCACAGGACCCTGGAGAATCACAGGACCCTGGAGAATCACAGGACTCTGGATAATCACAGGACCCTGGAGAATCACAAGACCATGGAGAATCACAGGACCATGGAGAATCACAGGACCCTGGAGAATCACAGGACCCTGGAGATTCACAGGATCCTGACGAATCACAGGATCCTGGAGAATCACAGGATCCTGAAGAATCACAGGACCCTGGAGAATCACAGGACCCTGGAGAATCACAGGACCCTGGAGAATCACAGGACCCTGGAGAATCACAGGACCCTGGAGAATCACAGGCCCCTGGAGAATCACAGACCCTGGAGAATCACAGGACCTGGAGAATCACAGGACCCTGAGAATCACAGGACCCTGGAGAATCACAGGATCCTGGAGAATCACAGGACCATGGAGAATCACAGGACCCTGGAGAATCACAGGACTCTGGAGAATCACAGGACCCTGGAGAATCACAGGACCCTGGAGAATCACAGGACCCTGGAGAATCACAGGACTCTGAAGAATCACAGGACACTGGAGAATCACAGGACCCTGGAGAATCACAGGACCCAGGAGAATCACAGGACCCTGGAGAATCACAGGACTCAGGAGAATCACAGGACCCTGGAGAATCACAGGACCCTGGAGAATCACAGGACCCAGTAGAAACACAGGACCCTGGAGAATCACAGGACCCTGGAGAATCACAGGACCCTGGAGAATCACAGGACCCAGGAGAAACACAGGACCCTGGAGAATCACAGGACCCTGGAGAATCACAGGACCCTGGAGAATCACAGGACCCAGGAGAAACACAGGACCATGGAGAATCACAGGACCCTGGAGAATCACAGGACCCAGGAGAAACACAGGACCCTGGAGAATCACAGGACCCAGGAGAAACACAGGACCATGGAGAATCACAGGACCCTGGAGAATCACAGGACCCTGGAGAATCACAGGACCCTGGAGAATCACAGGACCCCGGAGAATCACAGGACCCTGGAGAATCACAGGACCCTGGAGAATCACAGGACCCTGGAGAATCACAGGACCCTAGAGAAATCACAGGACCTGGAGAATCACAGGACCCTGGAGAATCACAGGACCCTGGAGAATCACAAGACCCTGGAGAATCACAGGACCCTGGAGAATCACAGGACCATGGAGAATCACAGGACCCTGGAGAATCACAGGACCCTGGAGAATCACAAGACCCTGGAGAATCACAGGACCCTGGAGAATCACAGGACCCTGGAGAATCACAGGACCCTGGAGAATCACAGGACCCTGGAGAATCACAGGACCCTGGAGAATCACAGGACCCTGGAGAATCACAGGACCCTGGAGAATCACAGGACCCTGGAGAATCACAGGACCCTGGAGAATCACAGGACCCTGGAGAATCACAGGACCCTGGAGAATCACAGAACCCCTGGAGAATCACAGGACCCTGGAGAATCACAGGATCCTAGAGAATCACAGGACCCTGGAGAATCACAGGACCTTGGAGAATCACAGGACCCTGGAGAATCACAGGACCCTGGAGAATCACAGGACCCTGGAGAATCACAGGACCCTGGAGAATCACAGGACCCTGGAGAATCACAGGACCCTGGAGAATCACAGGACCCTGGAGAATCACAGGACCCTGGAGAATGGTTTTCCTGGGTTTTAAAGGAATTTGAGGAGCTCAAGAAAACATTAGCAATTTTTCAATAAATTACTACACACAGGTATCATACCAATTAACTGGAAAGTGGAAAATATGATAGGTCATTACCTTCAAATTATAAATCAGTTTAATTAAAATCAAAGGTGAGAAAAATTGGCGGAATCAGTAATTGTAGATACAGTTCAAAGCCACCTTGAGGAACGTAATTTGTTGAAAGAATCTCAGTATGGTTTTACAGAAGCACTCTTGTGGATTTCATTAACAAATTTTCATTGATAGAGTTTTACACAGGAGACGAGAGAGAAGAGTCGCGACACAGAAGAACTTCTGGATAGAAGCTGCTTGACTGCTGGAGCTAGTGTGGAAGTTACAGGTTACGGTGTGGAGGTAACAGGTTACTGTGTGGAGGCTACAGGTTACTGTGTGGAGGTTACAAGTTACTGTGTGGAAGTTACAGGTTACTGTGTGGAAGTTACAGGTTACTGTGTGGAAGTTGAAGGATACTGTGTGGAAGTTACAGGTTACTGTGTGGAAGTTACAGGTTACTGTGTGGAAGTTACAGGTTACTGTGTGGAAGTTACAGGTTACTGTGTGGAAGTTACAGGATACTGTGTGGAAGTTACAGGTTACTGTGTGGAAGTTACAGGTTACTGTGTGGAGGTTACAGGATACAGTGTGGAAGTTACAGGTTACTGTGTGGAGGTTACAGGATACAGTGTGGAAGCTACAGGTTACTGTGTGGAGGTTACAGGTTACTGTGTGGAGGTTGCAGGATACAGTGTGGAAGTTGCAGGTTACTGTATGGAGGTTACAGGATACAGTGTGGAAGTTACAGGTTACTGTGTGGAGGTTACAGGATACAGTGTGGAAGTTACAGGTTACTGTGCGGAGGTTACAGGATAAAGCGTGGAAGTTACAGGTTACTGTGTGGAGGTTACAGGATACAGTGTGGAAGTTACAGGTTACTGTGTGGAGGTTATAGGATGCAGTGTGTAAGTTACAGGTTACTGTGTGGAAGTTACAGGTTACTGTGTGGAGGTTACAGGATACAGTGTGGAAGTTACAGGTTACTGTGTGGAGGTTACAGGATACAGTGTGGAAGTTACAGGTTACTGTGTGGAGGTTACAGGATACAGTGTGGAAGTTACAGGTTACTGTGTGGAGGTTACAGGATACAGTGTGAAAGTTACAGGTTACAGTGTGGAGGCTACAGGATACAGTGTGGAAGTTACAGGTTTTCTGTGTGCAGGTTACAGGATACAGTGTGGAAGTTACAGGTTACTGTGTGGAGGTTACAGGATACAGTGTGGAAGTTACAGGTTACAGTGTGGATGGTACAGTATAAAGTGTGGAAGTTACAGGTTACTGTGTGGAGGTTACAGGATAAAGCGTGGAAGTTACAGGTTACTGTGTGGAGGTTACAGGATACAGTGTGGAAGTTACAGGTTACTGTGTGGAGGTTATAGGATGCACTGTGTAAAGTAAAAGGACACAAGTGCAACTAATGTGACATTTATTGTGGCAACGTTTCGCTCTCCAGGAGCTTTATCAAGCCATTACAAACAATGCATGGACACAGAGGGTATATAAAGGCTCAGAGTGAGGTGAATACTAGTGAGGTACCATTCCGATGTTCACTAGTGGTAGTAGTAGTAGTAGTAGTAGTAGTGGTAGTGACAAAAGCAATTAATTCGTACATGAGTAAAAGGATATAAAAGCTATTACTTGGGTAACATAAAAATAGGTTGGACAAATATAAACTGGAATGAGGCAGGTTGTTTCAGTGTTCACTCTCTGTGCTTTGTGTAGTATAACAGGAGAGACTATGTGATGACAGGGTTTACTGTTTTCAGGAGGTTTCTTGCTAAGACTTCGGAGATGGTGAAGCTGCCGTTGTTTTGTTTAATTGTATTCGAAACAGCGATCAGTACTGATTCAAGGCACTTGCGTGTGCGGAAATTAGTTTCTTTTATCACTAATTGGGCGTCTCTGAATTTCATAAGATGATTGGTGGAATTTCGGTGTTGTACACAGGCGTTGTTTAAGTTGTCGTTCCTACATGCGTATATGTGTTCATTGAGGCGGGTGTCGAGGTTTCTTGCTGTTTCACCTACGTAGATCTTGTCACAGCCTCCACAGGGTATAGTGTAAACTCCTGCATTGACTGGTTCGTGGTGCTTGGGTTTTGTCCTGGTTAGATCCTTTATTGAAGTGGTAGAAGCGATGGCGACTCTGGTGTTAGCTTGTGAAAGTACTTTTGAGACGTTTAGTGCAACCTGGCTGTTGGGAAGAATTATAACTTTGTTGGGAGCGGTGTTGATGCGTGGAGAATTGATGATCTGAAGAGCTCTTTTCTTGCAGTCTTTGATGAAAAAAGAAGGAAATTGTAACTCAGTGAATGTTTGGTGAATGTAAGTACATTCCTCGTCAAGAAACTCAGGACTACAAATTCGGTATGCTCTTAGGAAAAACCCGATGATGATGCCTCTTTTGCTCTTGGTATCTTGACTGGAATAGAAGTGTGTGAGATCATTTTTATTGGTGGGTTTCCGATAAACTTGAAATCTTAGGTTGTTGTCTACTTTGTGAATGAGGACGTCGAGGAAAGGTAGCTTGTCATTGGACTCTTCTTCTAGTGTAAACTGAATCGCTGGTTCAACTGCGTTGAGCCTTGCCTGAAGATCCCGTACATCAAAACGTTTTGGAGTTATTACGAGGACATCGTCCACGTAACGTAACCAAGTGACGCTTGAAGGGATGATGTTGGCGAAGTGTTCGGACTCTAGGTGTTCCATGTATAAGTTGGCTAGGACGGCACTTATTGGGGACCCCATTCCCATGCCGTAGGTTTGTTTGTAGAGCTTGTTATTGAAGGAAAAAACAGTTGAAGTTAACACAGAGTTCAATCAAGTCAACAAAATCTCCGGGAGGTAAAGGAAGATTAAGGTCCTGGTTGACTTTACGTCGTAGAACCTCGATGGCTTTTTGGTAGGTACTTTTGTGAAGAGGGAAGTCACATCCAAACTGCTTAGTTTCTTGTTTACGGATGGAGAGGTTACGGATGCGGTTGAGAAGGTCGCCTGAGTGTTTAAGATGGGCGGGGCTGATGGTCCCAGAGGCAGGAAAGATGTTTGGCAAGAACTCGGCTAGTTTGTGTGGAGCACTGCCTATTCCTGACGTGATTGGTCTGAGAGGAATATTGTGTTTATGGGTCTTGGGTAAACCATACATGTGTGCTGGTTTAGGGTTGCTTGGTAACAAGTACAGAAGTTTCTTCCCTTCTCTAGTGCGTTTGAGTATTTGTCTGCTTTTGTATAGAAAGTCTTTGGTGAGCGTCTCCCACTGTTGAGTGCTGATAGGTTCGTATGTAGATTGATCATTCAAAAGGTCCATCATTTTAGTGTTGTAGTCACTGGTGTTGAGTATGACGACTCCACCTCCTTTGTCGGCGGTGGTGACGATAATGTTGGGGTCGTTGGCGAGGTCCTTAAGGGCAGTGATGTATCTTCTAGGAAGATTAGAAGAAGAAGGTTCACATAAAGCTGCAGTGAGAAGGCCCTGTATATAACCCTTCTGGAAGTTGCTGTCACTGTGTCTAAGGTTCCTGGTAACAAGATTGAGTTGATAGTTAGGTTTGCGTATGTTGGTGGTAAATTTGAGTCCCAGACTCAGTGCTTGTTTTCTCGTAGTCGGTTAAGGTGCGTGACGATAAGTTGTTTATCAGGGATTCGCGTCCCATTTCCTTCCACCGACTGTTAGTGCAGAGGTACTGAAGTTTGCGATTGAGTTTGATCTTCTGTTGGAGGTTAGCTGTGGTGACTGTGCTGAGAATATGCTCAGCAGTGTGTTGGTCAATCTGAAGATTGGCCCTCATATTCCTTGCAGTTTCAAAGGTTTCCTTAGCGATGTTAGAAAGTTCTTCGGCACATTCAGTTAAGTAAGCTTGGGTAGCTGGAGAGAAGGGGTGCTTGGAGTTGGAGAGTTGTGCAGGAGTAGACTTAGGGATCACCTTCTCTGCCAGGCAATCTTGTAGGAAGTTGTGTCTGTTGCGATAGCTGTGAGCACGAAGAAGGGTGTCCAAATAACGTCTGCATGAAATGTCCATTATGTTGCGGTGTCCGACAGATTGTAATAAAGTTGGTAGAATTACCGACAATATGTAAAGTAAAAGGACACAAGTGCAACTAATGTGACATTTATGAAATTCAGAGACGCCCAATTAGTGATAAAAGAAACTTGAATCAGCACTGATCGCTGTTTCGAATACAATTAAACAAAACAACGGCAGCTTCACCATCTCCGAAGTCTTAGCAAGAAACCTCCTGAAAACAGTAAACCCTGCCATCACATAGTCTCTCCTGTTATACTACACAAAGCACAGAGAGTGAACACTGAAACAACCTGCCTCATTCCAGTTTATATTTGTCCAACCTATTTTTATGTTACCCAAGTAATAGCTTTTATATCCTTTTACTCATGTACGAATTAATTGCTTTTGTCACTACCACTACTACTACTACTACTACTACCACTAGTGAACATCGGAATGGTACCTCACTAGTATTCACCTCACTCTGAGCCTTTATATACCCTCTGTGTCCATGTATTGTTTGTAATGGCTTGATAAAGCTCCTGGAGAGCGAAACGTTGCCACAATAAATGTCACATTAGTTGCACTTGTGTCCTTTTACTTTACATATTGTCGGTAATTCTACCAACTTTATTACAGGATGCAGTGTGTAAGTTACAGGTTACTGTGTGGAAGTTACAGGTTACTGTGTGGAGGTTACAGGATACAGTCTGGAAGTTACAGGTTACTGTGTGGAGGTTACAGGATACAGTGTGGAAGTTACAGGTTACTGTGTGGAGGTTACAGGATACAGTGTGGAAGTTACAGGTTACTGTGTGGAGGTTACAGGATACAGTGTGAAAGTTACAGGTTACAGTGTGGAGGCTACAGGATACAGTGTGGAAGTTACAGGTTACTGTGTGGAGGTTACAGGATACAGTGTGGAAGTTACAGGTTACTGTGTGGAGGTTACAGGATAAAGTGTGGAAGTTACAGGTTACAGTGTGGATGGTGCAGGATAGAGTGTGGAAGTTACAGGTTACTGTGTGGAGGTTGCAGGATAAAGCGTGGAAGTTACAGGTTACTGTGTGGAGGTTACAGGATACAGTGTGGAAGTTACAGGTTACTGTGTGGAGGTTATAGGATGCAGTGTGGAAGTTACAGGTTACTGTGTGGAGGTTACAGGATACAGTGTGGAAGTTACAGGTTACTGTGTGGAGGTTACAGGATACAGTGTGGAAGTTACAGGTTACTGTGTGGAGGTTACAGGATACAGTGTGGAAGTTACAGGTTACTGTGTGGAGGTTACAGGATACAGTGTGGAAGTTACAAGTTACTGTGTGGAGGTTACAGGATACAGTGTGAAAGTTACAGGTTACAGTGTGGAGGTTACAGGATACAGTGTGGAAGTTACAGGTTACTGTGTGGAGGTTACAGGATGCAGTGTGGAAGGTACAGGCTACTGTGTGGAGGGTACAGGATACAGTGTGGAAGTTACAGGTTACTGTGTGGAGGTTACAGGATGCAGTGTGGAAGTTACAGTTTACTGTGTGGAGGTTACAGGATACAGTGTGGAAGTTACAGGTTACAGTGTGGAGGGTACAGGATACAGTGTGGAAGTTACAGGTTACAGTGTAGAGGTTACAGGTTACAGTGTGAAGGTTTCAGGTTACTGTGTGGAGGTTACAGGATACAGTGTGGAAGTTACAGGTTACTGTGTGGAGGTTACATGATACAGTGTGGAAGTTACAGGTTACAGTGTGGAGGTTACAGGATACAGTGTGGAAGTTACAGGTTACAGTGAGGAGGTTACAGGTTACAGTGTGGAGGTTACAGGTTACAGTGTGGAGGTTACAGGATATAGTGTAGAGGTTACAGGATATGGTGTTGAGATTACAGGATATAGTGTAGAGGTTACAGGTTACAGTGTGAAGGTTTGCAGAATGAAACTGGATCACTAGGAAAATTCCTGAAATAGGTCAGAGGTAAATCGTAGGTAACTCACATATAGGCACCAGAGAGTTTTTATGAATAGTGAAAAGTCAGAATGGGATCCATTGCAAGTGGAACCCCACAGGGAGCAATTCAGGGCCCCTCGTAAACAATGTACATAAGAAGGAAGAAGCACTACAGCAGGCCTACTGGCTCATGCTAGGCAGATTGAAATCACCTACCGGCCTAAGCTACTGGCCAAAGCCAGTCAGGTGTAAGTCACGTCCACTTAAGAATATATGACAGTGATGAAGAAATAGTGACATATTGTGGGGTCGGGTAAATTCTTGGGTAGCTTTGGGTAGTGGTTGTTTTGATAAGGACTTGCCTTGCATGGGCCAGTAGGCCTTCTGCAGGTTCCTCCATTCTTATCTTCTTACCCATGTTACACTCTTGGTAAAACGTCTATTGACCAGAGCACAAGACTAAACAAAGGCAGAAGCGAGTGTCAGAGAGACGACAAAACAATCTCTGCGCTGTTCACTGCAACACAGAGAACTGAGTTATCAAGGCAGCAGACAGAGGGAACCGACTTTGCTTGAAATCTGCGCTATCAACACCACTAAAATAATTACACAAATATTAGGTTCATTACTAATTTCTGATGCATTGGATAAATTTATTATCACAGGACATACCACTGCTATTGCATAAACTTTTCTAGAATTGCAGAAGTCAATCAAAGAACCGGCTTAACGGAGCACATTTCTGCAGTAGCAATCACCCGCCGTCTCATTGTCTCACGCTCTCGTTCTTCCCATCTCTGTGAGAAAGAATTAAGTTGATAACTTAGATACACGTGCATCACTTGGGAATCTTTATTGAGGAAACGTTTCCTCAATAAAGATTCCCAAGTGTTGCACATGTATCTGATTTATCAAGTCATCGGTTCTTCGGACCATTTATATACAAATTATAAAGTTTTTGTTGGACAGAATGTCTTCTAGATGAAATTCCAAAAACTGTATATTTTATATTAATAACATATGTGCAGTGGACTCTAGATGGACATGCTGCAGTGGACTCTAGATAGGACATGCTGCAGTGGACTCTAGATAGGACATGCTGCAGTGGACTCCAGATAGGACATGCTACAGTGGACTCTAGATAGGACATGCTGCAGTGGACTCCAGATAGGACATGCTGCAGTGGACTCCAGATAGGACATGCTGCAGTGGACTCCAGATAGGACATGCTGCATTGGACTCTAAATAGGACATGCTGCAGTGGACTCCAGATAGAACATGCTGCAGTGGACTTTACATAGGACAAGCTGCAGTGAACCCTAGATGGAATATGCTGCAGTGGACTCCAAATGGATATGATGCAATGGACTCTAGATAGGACATGCTGCAATGTACTTTAGATAGGACATGCTGCAGTGGACTCCAGATAGGACATGCTGCAGTGGACTCCAGATGGACATGCTGCAGTGGACTCCAGATAGGACATGCTGCAGTGGACTCCAGATGGACATGCTGCAGTGGACTCCAGATGGACATGCTGCAGTGGACTCCAGATAGGACATGCTGCATTGGACTCTAAATAGGACATGCTGCAGTGGACTCCAGATAGAACATGCTGCAATGGACTTTACATAGGACAAGCTGCAGTGAACCCAAGATGGAATATGCTGCAGTGGACTCCAGATGGACATGATGCAATGGACTCTAGATAGGACATGCTGCAGTGGACTCCAGATAGGACATGCTGCAGTGGACTCCAGATAGGACATGCTGCAGTGGACTCCAGATGGACATGCTGCAGTGGACTCCAGATAGGACATGCTGCAGTGGACTCCAGATGGACATGCTGCAGTGGACTCCAGATGGACATGCTGCAGTGGACTCCAGATAGGACATGCTGCAGTGGACTCCAGATAGAACATGCTGCAGTGGACTCTAGATAGGACATGCTGCAGTGGACTCTAGATAGGACATGCTGCAGTGAACTCTAGATGGACATGCTACAGTGGACTCTAGATAGGACATGCTGCAGTTGACTCCGGATAGGACATGTTGCAGTGAACTCTTAATAGGACATGCAGCAGTCGACTCTAGATAGGACATGCTGCAGTGGACTCCAGATAGGACATGCTGCAGTGGACTCCAGATAGGACATGCTGCAGTGTACTCTAGATAGGACATGCTGCAGTTGACTCCAGATAGGACATGCTGCAGTGGACTCCAGATAGGACATGCTGCAGTGGACTCCAGATATAACATGCTGCAGTGGACTCCAGATAGGACATGCTGCAGTGTACTCTAGATAGGACATGCTGCAGTTGACTCCAGATAGGACATTGCTGCAGTGGACTCCAGATAGGACATGCTGCAGTGGACTCCAGATATAACATGCTGCAGTGGGCTCCAGATAGGACATGCTGCACTGGACTCCAGATTTCACATGCTGCAGTGGACTCTAAATAGGACATGCTGCAGTGGACTCCAGATAGGACATACTGCAGTGGACTTCAGATAGGACATGCTGCAGTGGACTTAAGATAGGACATGCTGCAGTGGACTCTAAATAGGACATGCTGCAGTGAACTCTAGATGGACATGCTACAGTGGACTCTAGATAGGACATGCTGCAGTTGACTCCGGATAGGACATGTTGCAGTGGACTCTTAATAGGACATGCTGCAGTCGACTCTAGATAGGACATGCTGCAGTGGACTCCAGATAGGACATGCTGCAGTGGACTCTAGATAGGACATGCTGCAGTGGACTCCAGATAGGACATGCTGCAGTGGACTCCAGATAGGACATGCTGCAGTGTACTCTAGATAGGACATGCTGCAGTTGACTCCAGATAGGACATGCTGCAGTGGACTCCAGATAGGACATGCTGCAGTGGACTCCAGATATAACATGCTGCAGTGGGCTCCAGATAGGACATGCTGCACTGGACTCCAGATTTCACATGCTGCAGTGGACTCTAAATAGGACATGCTGCAGTGGACTCCAGATAGGACATACTGCAGTGGACTTCAGATAGGACATGCTGCAGTGGACTTAAGATAGGACATGCTGCAGTGGACTCTAAATAGGACATGCTGCAGTGGACTCCAGATAGGACATGCTGCAGTGGACTCCAGATAGGACATGCTGCAGTGGACTCCAGATAGGACATGCTGCAGTGGACTCTAGATAGGACTGCTGCAGTGGACTCCAGATAGGACTTTGCTGCAGTGGACTCTAGATGGGACATGCTGCAGTGGACTCCAGATAGGACATGCTGCAGGGGGACTCCAGATAGGACATGCTGCAGTGGACTCCAGATAGGACATGCTGCAGTGGACTCCAGATAGGACATGCTGCAGGGGGACTCAGATAGGACATGCTGCAGTGGACTCCAGATAGGACATGCTGCAGTGGACTCCAGATAGGACATGCTGCAGTGGACTCTAGATAGGACATGCTGCAGTGGACTCCAGATAGGACATGCTGCAGTGGACTCCAGATAGGACATGCTTTGATTGAGAAAGCAGGCAGAATACAGCCTAAGAAGATATATATCATAATCTACTCCTGGAAAATTCCAGATGTATTGGTCTTAAATTTACTTAGAAAAAAATCGCTCTTCTACCTAAATGATTTTAATGCTTCTTTTGGCATCCTCTGAAATGATGATGAAAAAGCTTTAGCTGTTGTTAAGTAAAAAGACAGAAATGCAACTAATGTGACATTTTATTGTGGGAACGTTTCGCTCTCCAGGAGCTTTATCAAGCCGTTGTTGTTATGAACGACCGCCATGCTGATATGATAACAGTGATGAGCCAGGAACGTACCTAGCATTTGCTTCGCTAATGCTTTTCAAATTCAAATTCAAAGTTTATTCTCTATAAGGATTACAATGCTGAATTTACAGAATTTGGTTATTGTGTGGTTTACATGTAGTTAAATAATGATTACAGAGGGTACCACTAGAACACCTAGCATGGCTAGACATTTCGGGCAGACTAGTTTATTTCTTTATTTTAAAATATTATAAATTATGAGGTAAGTTGGTATCATGGCTAAGTGACTAAATACTAGTTTGTGAGTTTAGCAATGTGAATGCTTTTGTTTTGGCACAGTACATAGTTTCAGTATTGGAGTATCATAGGATTCATTATTTTAAGATTGAGATTAATATTTCTGTTTATTGTCAAATGGGTGAGTGAGTGTAAGTGTGAACCACCAGGTGGTATTCGTGTAGTTAGTTGATGGGGTGTATCAGGGAGATAAGATGTTTTCTAATGGTAGTTTTGAAGGTGATGAATGCGTCTGCAGTTCTAGAGTTCTCAGGTAGGGTGTTCCAGATTTTAGGGCCTTTGACATACATTGAATTTTTGTAAAGGTTTAGTCGGACACGGGGAATGTCGTAGAGATGTTTGTGTCTGGTGTTATGCCTATGGGTTCTGTCACAACTATCAAGAAAGCATTTTAGGTCAAGGTTTATATTGGAGTTTAAGATCCTGTAGATGTAGATTGCACAGTAGTAAGTGTGGATGTACTGAACAGGGATTAAGTTTAGATCTATGAAGAGTGGGGGGGGTGTTGCCAGGGATGGGATTTAGTGATTATTCTTACTGCAGCTTTTTGTTGGGTTATTATTGGCTTTAGGTGTGTTGCTGCAGTTGATCCCCAAGCACAAATAGCATAGGTGAGGTATGGATAAATAAGTGAGTGGTATAGTGTGAGAAGGGCATTTTGCGGCACGTAGTATCGTATCTTGGAGTGGATCCCAACCGTTTTGGATACTTTTTTGGTTGTGTTGGATATGGGTGCTGAAATTCAGGTTGTTGTCAAGGTATAGGCCTAGGAATTTGCCCTCATTATGTCTGGTAATTAGAGTGTTGTCGATCTTAATGTTAATTTGTGCATCTCCTGCTCTGCTACCAAACATAATGCAGTAGGTTTTGTCAGTGTTAAGCGTAAGTTTATTGGCTGTCATC